CCCACGGGGACGGATCAACCCACCCAGGGATGGATCAACCCACCCAGGGATGGATCAACCCACCCAGGGCAAACGAAAAAACTCGGCTATGAAGCCACAGGACGGGGCTGAGCCCTCGCAGGGCCTTGTGATGCTCGTGGAACGTCACTCCCAGTTGCCAACAAAGCTGATAAACTGGAGTCCCCGGGACCAGCAGGGCCAATAAAAGCCGATTTCCTCAGGGCACCTGCCCTTGTCCTCAAGCAAACCCCCTCCGGGGCAGCAGCCTCAGCTCCCCCCTTCACCCCAGGAGCTCCCGAGGTGCAGCAGTGCTGGGGCTTGTCTGGAGCTACACGGGTGTGTTTAGGCCCCAGTTCTGCTGCCACAGCAGGTTCATTGGCCAAGCTCTGCCCCCAAAAAGGGTCTTCGCTTAGATCTCAGAGGATCGCCCCTGATACTTCTAAGTCTCCTTGTTGGTATCTATGGATGGAAAGTACTACCAAAAATCTTCCAAAGGAAATCATTCCTTTGAATTTTTGAAATTATTTACATGGAAAAAAAGGGGGGGGGAATCTTATACCCTACATTTTAATTTACTCTACGTTTTCGCTACAAATGGAAACTGCCTGACACAGACAAGAAATGAATTGGAGGCCTCCAGAGTCAACTCCAGGGAACTGTTGCCCAGATCATCTTTCTTCCTCATTAGACTCTTCCCAACAAGAATTGCATCCCCAAAAAACAACCTCCAACAACTGTGCAGCTCCAGAGCAGTAGCACAACGTGGCTGTTCACAGGGCCCAGCTTTGTGTCTAAAAGCAGCAAAGTCTCTAATGAGGCTCAAGCCTCAGGCAGTAAATTGTTCAGGAAGACAACCAGGGTCTCTGTCTTTTTCCCACCATCCCACAACAACTGCAGGAGCATCCAGGAGCATGGTTCTCCCAGGAGAGCTGTGTGCACACAGCAGGACCTCCCAGAGCAGCTGGGAAAAGGCAGCTCGGCGCTACCGGGCACTGACTGCAGGAGGCTGGAGCTGCTCTGCAGGAAAACAGGACCAGCTGCAGCTGTGCTCCACAGCTGGATAAAGGCATCACACAGCAAAGGCTGCAGCAGGGGGGTGTGGAACCGAGGGAGAAACAGCAGGAGAAGCTGTCAAGGATGGGGGATCCAGCTGGGAATGCAGAGTCAAGACTGACCAGCCTGAGCACTGGGCAGGAGTCACAGAAGGGACCCACAGGAGTCATCCAGTCCAACTCTTAACCCTGCCCAGGACATCCCCGAGGGTCACACCCTGTGCCTGACAGTGTTGGCCAAACTCTTGCTGAGCCCTGGCAGGTTTGGTGCTGCGACCACTGCCCTGGGCAGTCTGACCAACGAGCTTCCCGTTCCCAGCTCACGTCCCCCTGCAGACCTGATAGCTGGTATTTTTAGGTGTTTTCTGGGTTCTGTTCCCCCTCCAAGCAATCCCACTTCCGTGACCCACAGTCCCTTCTTCCCAGTGGGAAGGCCTGGAACAGGAGGCTTGAGAGGCACACCAGATCAAAGGAACCCCTGCGCTGCCGCGCTCGGCCGGGCAGGCGCCGCTCGCCCTTGACTAAGCTCCCTGCTTGGCACGCTCCCAAACCTGCTGCCTTTGAGTGCTTGACTGCTCACAGAAGCTTCTCACAATCAGCTTTTCTGATCACACATCGTTTAAAACGTTGCCACGTTCTGCCCCCAGAGCTCAGCACCGTCAGTGATCTCTCCCCGGCCGCCGCGTGGACAGGGGAGGGTGTTTTAACCAGAGACTCATTAAGAGCAGCAGTATCACTTCAATCAGGCTCCTTGAAATAAGAATTCCGTGTGCAAACTGACAAAGTCATTCTCCTGGGTCCTGCCAAGCCCTTTGCCGTAGGCAAAGCAGTTGAGACGTCCCTTAGCATCAACTCTGTTTGTTTATTTATAAAGTTCACATGTTTGATCTTCGTTTAGCAACTGTTTTCATCTCTCTGGCCGGTGGTAAGAACACAGCAGTTCTTCTCTTGAGTCAAAGAATCATGAGTTCTCTTCTCCCAGCTCTGGAAACCATCCAGCATCAGCTTTGAGAGCTCATCCCAAATTTAGCCAGGCCAAGTGCAGGAGGCTCTGCAGGGCTGCTCAGCTCCACACTGCTCATCTCTCACAGGTACCAGCCAGGCTCTGGCTGTCACCTTGAACTAAGACTTCCCAGGAGTTACCTCACAACACTTGACTAATTCCCCTCATTTTGAACACAGCCATCACAGCCCCAAGTTGCTCAGCCACCACAACCTTTGGGAGTCTTGGAGAAAAACCTGGACTGAAACACATTGTTACTGCCTGAGCTGCTGTGTTTTGTTTCACTGGAGATTAAACTGTTTTCAGTCCCACCACTCTGCCTACAGACTTCAGGAGACCCCCCCCAAACCCAAGCACTCGGGAGGGAACCAGTCACCAGATGCAGGGAATCTTGCTTTGCAGTGAATTCAGTGAAGCAAAGGCCTCGAGCAGCAGCTCCTAAATGTTTGTGATTAAAACCTCAGTTGCTCCTCATGGACCACTGGCCCTGTTAACACCATCCCCTGATCTGGAAGTCCAGCAAAGGCTCTCCTTGGCCTCCTGTGATCCACTGAGAAGAGTTTGGGAACCACTGCAGTTAAACACGTTCTTGATCAATGAGTCACTGCATCCACCTTTTTTCCTGGAGACTTTCAGAGGCAGGAAAACCCTTCAGACACTCAGCCCATCCTCAGCTTTCATTGGAACCAGTGTCCAAGAGCCCTCAGGCAACCACCTTGAATGAGTTCCCTTTCCATCCCACTGAAAACAAAGGTTTGTCCAGGTTTCTTCTTCCTTTCATAAAAATCTCCACTACCCTCTGACAAATTGGTTCCTTCCTATGCCAGGAAGTGCCACCCTCGGAGTCACTTCCAGGGTCTCCTCAGCCTTTCAGCTGCTGCATTTTGCTGCTGTTTATAAGAAAAAAAGAAAAAAAAAGAGTTGGGAAAACAATTAGAAAATTGTTTCTGGAATTTTCACAGCACAGTTAACACAACTGAAGCTTTCAGCAAACACTGTGCCTCTGCAATAAGAAAACTGGAGCTCCATCAAGTGTGCTAACTGCTGAAGGAATGAAGGTAAATCGGGGCATTGCCCACATCTTGGAATGATCCCTGTAAAACATGGAATTATGTACAAAGTCCTGGTTTATTTCTAGGAACTTCTCAGTGAAACATCACAAAATTAAGCTGATGAGTATCTGAAATAACAGCTCCAAACACGGTGCCATAGGAAAGATCTCGAGGTGAACCAGCTGCTCAACCCCACCAGGTCTGCCCTGGTTTAGCACCAGGGACTGACAGCACCTTCCAGACTGGCTTAGACTCAGAGACAGGACAGACAGGAGGCAAATGGATCACAGATACACCTGTGGTCTAACTGAAGCCTCCTCCTTTGGGAGGAGGGAGGTGGCCCAACATTTCAGTCACTGCAGGTCTCACACCAAGGTGAACCAACAACTACCACTAATCCCGGCTCAGGTGGTCCAGAGCCTGAACCACTGGAGTCCATGGCAAATCTCCAGACTAGTTTTCCCTGGGAATGTGGCAACATGTTTGGGAGAGGTAAGCCAGAGTTCTGAAACCTGGATTCAAGCCAAGCTGAGGATTATTTGGATCAGAGCTGTCCCTGGGCACAGGTCAGAAATGTTCAGGCTCAGCAGCTCCTCTCAACCTCTGAAAGTCTTTCCATTGCTCACATCAGCAGCTACACACAACTGTCTGCCACTGGGCTCCACAGCTTTCTCCAGAGCCAAAATCCAGCTGGTCTCTTGCTGGGATGTCCAGGAGGAACCTTAATCACCTGGGGGGGGTCATAAAAACAAAATCTAGAAAAAAATGCAAAGGTTACTAACGAGTCACAAGCAGCTCTTGCAGCAAATCATGATTATACACAACACATATCAGATATCCCAAGACTGCTGACAAGCATCCTCTTCCCAGCTCAACACTATTCCCTGTCCACCTTTCAGGGATGTGTGACCAAACTCAGACCAGGTGACTGCAAACCTCACTGCAAACCACCTCTGACCTCAGCCCTGAGTCAGTAAAAGCCTGGAATGGACCTTCAGGATCACCCAGTCCCAGGGACACACACAGGGATCCAAGAACATAATCCTACCCAGGGTTTAATTGCTGGATTTGCAGCTCCCACCAACACCTTCCTGTGCCAGCTCAAAGTCAGGTGATGGCATCCCAGATCACAGGCCCCGGGAATGTCTCCTGGATTCCACAAATTTCCTTTCAAAAACAAGAATCAGAGCCCAGCTACGCCTCAAACACTCACCAGACAAGAGATTGATGTGATAATGCTTGGGAAGTTTGGGAGAAAACTTCCACTAGTGGCTGGTGGTCTCTGCTCTGCAGACCCAGGGCCTGATTGACACCCCCAATTAAACCAAGGCTTAAAAACCCCCGGGGTTTGCCAGGGCTGGTTGAGAGATATTTGAAAGGAAAAGACAGTAAAGAAACACGTCTGAACCTCAGAATAAATCCACAGATTCTGTAGGTGGGATCAATCCAGTCTCAACTCATGGAATGGCCATTTAATGGGTTACCTGGGTGGAAACAAGTTGAACCAAACATGAGAGTTTTGGTGGTTTTTTAATCAAGTTTCACAGGTTAACTCTGAAAACCTGTATTCTGTAGGTAAGCAGGCTACCAGAATTTGTTCTGAAGAGCTACCACTCAAAATCTGAACAAAATCACACTTTTCATAATTTCCTTAGGAAAATTATTTCTCAACTCAGTTTTAAGAAAGTTCTGACTTTAAGGGGCACAACAACAAGTTATGTTAGAAATAACATGTATTCTGCCTGAAATCACACCACCACCAAAAAACAACAACCCTGAAGGCCAAAAATGGAGATTATAATTACCACAAGGCTGTGTTGTACAGTTCAGTACCACACTGCAGACGCAGATGACACACCTGAGTCTTCAGAAATGAGAGAAAGATCTGCTTGGTAGTGAAAATATAATTTTATTTAACAATAGCTGCCAGCAGTATACTGGTATATCTGTAAAAGATGTTCCAGAGAGTGAAAGACACAAGCAAACTACAATAAATTGTATCAACTCTTCAAGTATTTCTGCAAACAACGCTCCAATCCTTGACGGGATCCCAATTCTGCTCCCACCTCCTCCAGAAGCGAAGTGTCAGGAGTTGGTGGCACAGGTTCTGAGGCAGATGAAATATTTTTTTTTTGTTTTTTTTTTACCACTTGGGATAAAGCCTCCTCCTGGAAAATATTAATTGGATGTGCTCAGATAGTTCTGAGTGGCAAAGAGCACAACAAAGCTGACTGTGCTTCGCCACGTTTTGTTCTGCGCCCAGATAGGCATCGGCGGGTTTGGCTCCAGCACCTTCCACTTATTCACGTCTGTGCTCCTTTGATACCAAATGCTAATTTGCTGCTTTAGCATAAAAATTTGATTACATCTCTCTTCTTATCATGGAGCTGCACGCAGCTCTCAATCTGGTCCAGACATGCCCACTGTGGAAAAAAACAGCAATTTTATGGGAAAATGCAAATGGAGGGGGGGGAAATGCTACGAGGGAGGGACTGTGTGTGTGGGACATCCACGGGGAGCAGCAGGGAAGAGCTGGACAGGGAAGCTTTGGAGAGCATGGAATTGCTCCAGAAGTTCACATGCCTCTTGTTCAACAGGCAGCTCTTCCACAGAAGGGATCTCTTGGAGAAGGAAAGCTTTGTTAAGGGGAAAAAAACCCAACACCCTACTCATGCATATATAGGATAATCTGTTCTCCCACACAAAAACAGGGTGCAGATGATGGATTTTCCCTTTGTGTTCAGGAAATACACAAGTCACCTGTTTTAATGCGAATTTAAGCATATTTCAGCTTGAGAATAAAGTAAGTTATTCAGCATGCTAATACATGCAACCAACTTGCAAACTGGAATGCCAACTTGAAAGGGTAACTGCTGTTTTTAAATTGTAGAAGGGGCTTGAAGCAGCATTTTAAATTTAAACAGGGGGCAGATTAATTGCTGTTTGATGAAATTAAAAATGCATTTAAAGATCAGATTGTAAACAAGTTGACAGAAGTCAAGAATTTACATAGTTATGAAAGGGTTTTTTTAATTAATGTGGAGCTGGTGATTGGGGCCAGATGAAAGTGCTCTGCCCACACCAGACGCTGAGCCTTCCCCCAGTGCTCTGCAGGGATCACCTCCGGAGGTGAGAGCAGCTCCTCTCCAGGACATTCCTGGGCTCTCCCGAAGCCAGGAGGGGCTGGGCAGCTCCTGCCACAACAAAAGTGTGCAGCAGGAAGCCCGAGGGACAGCGAGTGCTCTCACCCAGGACAGTTACCAGCCATCACAACCCGGGCCCCGCTGGGAGATAAGAAATGCATTAGTTACAGGCAGAGCTCTGCCTTTGTTTACAAGCTCTCAGACAACAATCGTTAAAACACTGAGGAGAACGAGCTACGATGGTTTGGAGATTGCCTAAAAAGCAGAGAGGATTTATTATCAAGTGGTGTTTAAGGAGCTGGGGATTTGTTTGCAGCAGCTGCACCCCAGAAACTGCATCCCAGAGTTTGGTGCTCACCCCCCCGGGGCCTGTGCACCACAGCAGGGCTGACCTGCTTGGAAAAGGGCTCCTAAACCTCCATCCCTACAACTGCCAAGGGCCACCTCATCTGCTTTTTTTAAAGGGGAGTTCAGAACTTTAAAGGACATGCCCACAGTCACGTTGCTTCCTACAGTTTTGTTTTTAAAGGTGAGCTATGATAGCAAAGAGCACCAAACCAGTGAGGGCTGGGGAGTTTTTTTTTTTACCCTCTATAGTCACTAAAAATGTTGTTATCTAAATAAAAAAGATTTTTTTCTAGATGTCACGTTGTAGCAAAGACTGAGCCCCTACAGAGGATTATTATGGCTGAGAAACTTTATTCAGGAGGAGAACGTGACATTAGAATACAGTGATTATTAAAAGGCTACAGTTTAGGTTTTCCTAACCAGGTCACTCTGCAGCATTTCCTTTCTGTGCCTAAACACCTCTGCAATAAATCAGAACAGGGACTAAGTGTATCTAACACAGTTGCCTTTGAAAGACAAGTAACAGGATTTACTAACTGCCTTTATATTGGAATTCTAGCTCTAGGAAGGCAAGACAAGGCACCACAAGCCATGTATACAAATATGGATCTGGTTCTCTACCTCTTCTATGTCAAACTAACTCCATGGGTATATAAAGTAGCAAAAGCAGGACGCCTGTAAAAGTCAGGCTGGTTTTCAGAAAGCCAGTGCTTACCAAAAAAATTAGTGTATAAAAGTGTTTATGTGAGCATTTTCCACGTTATTGCAGAATGTTAAATATTCCAAGAACAACCTAGCAGGAATAGCACTTTCCAGCTTCTAAAATCAGTTAAATATAAAAGTATCTTTACAAAAAAATAGGCATATAAGTCTAGCATTCTTTGGAGTTGTTTATGATGGTCTTTTAAAAATAACCTAACAGTTCACTTCATGCGTCAAACTCATTAATTTTAAACAAGAAAACTATTCCCTGGTTTAGAAATATTTGAAAATTGCTTTTAAAAAAATTGTAGTGCTATTCCTCAGCGTTGCTGTAAAAAGGTTATGTATAGTAGTGCAATGATTATGATCATGCAAAACTGCAGTCTGGGTGCACACACAAGCAAATTGGGATAAATTCAGTGGAAAGGACTGGATTCCACACACCCCCTTCTTCACTAAAGTCATCAACAGATTTCCTTTCAGGAAAAAAAAAAAAAGAACAAACCAACCTGCATACTAAAATTTAAGGCAAATGTTCTCTTTCAAGGTCACTTTAGCTTTCTTCAGGAAAGAAAGAGCATATAAAAGTTCCCCAGAGGTTCCCATTTCATGGCTCTCAGGTCATTTTGCATCACTAATCATTGCACTGCTATTCACACGTTACCAACTAGGACACTACAGGTTACATGGACTTGGTTTATGACAGAACAGGGTTTGTTTTTTTTTAAGTAAATATCACCAAAAAGACCTATACAAAACAAAGGTTCTTAACTACCAAAAAGAAACCACTTGCAATTTTTCAGGTGAACAGGTGGCAGCTTCCAATTCTGCTGTTTCCTGATGGCCAAGGGCATCCTGACAAGTATTTGTCTGCTGCAACTCAGAATTCGGGACAGAAGTAGGTGTTTGGATCTCATCAAGCTCCTGAAGACACAACTAAAAACCACCTCTGAGCTTTGAACTTCCTGCTACAGCACTCAAGCCTAAATTCAAACTTCCCTGATGCTGAGGTCCTTCAAATCCAAGTTCCACATCGAGTCCATTCTCAACCACTACTGTGACTTCAAATCCAAGAGATTTCTTTTTTCTAATTAAAAAAAAAAATAAATTCCAAATTTTCTGCAAATGGCTCTTTTGGATAATAAGTTCCCTTCTCTATGTAAATAGGATAGACAAGCAGGTACAGTTCAACGTGTCACAGGTATGACAACTGTGTACAGATCTTCTGGAAAAGCAATAAATTCCAAAATACATAAATATTCCTTGTACCATACAGCGAGACAGTGTCCTAAACCAATTCATGGACAGGGACCAAATGTTTACAGAGGAAAGCAACAGGGGCAAGGCAATCCTTCACACTGAAGAATCCAGAGTTCCCCCAGTGCAACACGACTGCACTAATGATATTCAAAGGAGGTAAGGAAAAACAAGCCTATAATTAACCCTGCAAACTTTAGGTAATTACTGTACCTGGTCTATCCACCGTAACTTTGAATAACTGCGAGTTCATGCAAAAAAAAATTGCTATATCTTATGTGGAAGGAGCAGTCTGTTAGAAGCATTGTTATGGAATATGCAGGAAGTCATCCTTCAGCAAGTGCTGATTACTTGGTGAGTCTCTTGGCTACATCACTGTAAGCTATTTCGATTTCTTTGTCTCCAGGACAGGTGTTGGTGAACTCATCCCTGCTGTAAGCATTCGTCAGGTATCTCCAGATCCCTGTCATTTCCTTGGGAATCTCAAAGTTGCGGTACTTTTTGGCCACCACCTAAAGCGAAAGAATCGGGTTATGAATTTGCATCCTTCCACTTCAAAGCACTTTTCCACTGCTGGTCACTCTCTTGTGAGGTTGTCCTTCCAAGCAGGACACTCAGAGTCATTCCTAAAGCCAGCAGAAGCTGTTCCTCAGGGATACACCCGGCCCTGGCAGCTCCCTTTGGGTTTGTCCTCAGCCAAGGAAACACTCCTGCACCCAGGCAGAAGCTGGATCTGTGGCTCCATCTGCAGTACAGAACTGACACAGATCCCTGGAGACAGGGAGAGAAACCAAACCACGGTCCTACAGACACACCTGCACTCCTCTGGTTATCCCAGGCCACCTCTTCCCGGACTTCCAACTTTTTTTTTTTAATACAATCCTTTTATTTCACATTGGGTCATTTCCTTGGTTGCACACAGGGCAGTTTTCCCTACAGGAGTGAGCAGACATCCACCTCAGCCGTCAGCTGCTCACCTGATCTCCACCTTCCCTCTTCCACCTCACTGATCTGAGCACTACAACTGACTGTGCCCACGGGGGTCAGGGCAGTCAGAGGGGTTTGGGTTCTGCCAGTTCATCCTCTGCCTACAGGTTCACACCCCCACTGAACCCAGTGCTCCAGCCCCAAAGCCCTTGTGCAAGACCCAAATCCTGCTTCAGGTACTGTTAATGCTGTAGTTAAACTTACATGGGAGTCTACAAACACTTGGAATTAGCTGGGCTCTAGAACGTCACAGAATTGGGATTAGCTGGGCTCTAGAATGTCACACAGAGTCAGAATTAGCTGGGCTCTAGAATGTCACACAGAGTCAGAATTGGCTCAGCTCTAGAATGTCCCACAACTGGAATTAGCTGGGCTCTAGAATGTCCCACAATTGGAATTAGCTGGGCTCTAGAATGTCCCACAACTGGAATTAGCTGGGCTCTAGAATGTCCCACAACTGGAATTAGCTGGGCTCTAGAATGTCACACCCTGTTGGAATTAGCTGGTCTTTAGAATGTCATACAGCTGGAATTAGTTGGGGTCTGGAATGTCCTACACAGTCAGAATTAGTTGGGCTCTAGAATGTCCCACACAGTCAGGATTAGCTGGGCTCTGGAATGTCCCACACAGTCAGGATTAGCTGGGCTCTAGAATGTCCCACAATTGGGATTAGCTGGGCTCTAGAATGTCCCACAATTGGGATTAGCTGGGCTCTGGAATGTCCCAGGCCCTCAGCCTTTTGTCCTTCATCCCCCAGCCCCCCAGGGCCCTACCTTGACGATGTGCAGCTTGGGCAGCAGGTTGCAGTCTGCCAGGGTCATCTCGTTGCCGTCCAGGAACTTGCGCGTGGACACGGGCACGTCCTCCATGCTGTTCTCGTCGATCTCGTCGGGCAGGGGCGAGTTCAGGTACTCGTCCAGTTTCTGGAGGGTTTTCAAGAGGCCACGTTCTAAGGCTGCAGAGGGAGTTTTAAGGGTGTTTTTTTTTAAGAACAAAGCAAATCCTCATTTACAATATTGATGCCAGCCACAGATCTGATAAACCCCTCACCACTGTGCTCCCCAGAACAGCCCCTACCCTGAAGGATTTGTAACCCCTGAGCAATTTTTGTGGCAGCAGCACTGCTGGATCTGGCTGGATGGTCACCAGTAACACTGGAATGGAACCAGAACCCCTTTAAATATCCCACACACTCAGGTTATTTAAAAGCTGGTTAATACACGAGTTTACACTAATTTAGAACACACTAAGACTGTCCACAAGGGTTTATTTTTGGTTTAAAAAGTGGCTTATGTCAGTTTGTTAAGACCGTGCCTAACTGGCTTAGAATTAAGAATTAGAATTGGAATTAAGCTATGCTGGGGTTTGTATACATTTAAACATAATCTGTTTAACATCACGTGCTCAGCAAAGAGCCACGACCAAACACAGAGCACCCGGGAGGTTTCTGGAATACAGCAGGTTTTGGGAATGCATCAGCAGAGGGCAGCACACCCCACAAAATCCCCAATTGTTTCTCAGCTGTTTACAAATATTTTGCATCTCCCTGTTTGAAATGCAGCACAAAGGCCTCCTTTGGTTTTCCCTCAAAGCACACTGAGGATGAAAGATTTGTACTAAACTATTTGAAGGTCCAGCTGTGAACTCTTTATCACTTATTGATCTCTGTGTTGCATCGACTGTTTTCCCTCCACGCACAAAGGTCTTAATGCTTTAAAGAAAGCAACAGGGACTAAGCTTAGCTCAGAACTCTGAATGAGAGCCCTCAGTCCTACAGAGGGCAAATAATCAAGTGCAACAGATGCACAGAAACTCAAGCAGTGGGGTATGACACAAATACTGCATGAAATTTGGTTCCAGAGTTTGGACTGGCTGTAAATATCCAATACCAGGGGTACTGACAAACCCTGCACACCCTGCTGAAATTCTGAGTGAACACTAACTGAAGTTCTCTCTCAAAGTGTTGAGATCTTTGTCTCTGACATTAAACCACAGATTGAATTCCTGAGACTCTCCCAAGGGTCCATCAACACGCAGCTGAATTTGTCATTGAGACACTTCACAGCCAAGCTGCTCTGAAAAGCACAAGCCAGTGAACCCACGTGTGCCCCCCAGGTGACCCACCTTCATTAGCTTCTGGTCTAGAGTTTTTGATAAATGCAGAAAATTTGGCAAATATATCCATCCCAGCAGTGTTGGATTCTGGATGCTTTGGTGAAAGTTTTAGGTATCTGGAAAGCAGAAAGGAGCAGATCTACAGCACATTTAGCATAATGATGATCATCATATATATTAACTAGTACAAAATGGCCCTTTTTAAAAATATCTACATAATGTAGATTTACCAGTTTATCCATTTTCAGAGTTGCTTTTGAAATGTAATATCACACACTTCCATTTAAGTTAAGATTTTAGAACCCACTTTTAAATCACTTTTCAGAAGATCACCAAAGTGTATCCCTGCTTTCTGAATCAGGCATTTGTTTCAAGCAGATAACAAACAGTTCATAGTCAGGGATCAAGCAGGTAAATAATAAAATACACTTGTCTGTTCCCTGTACACACCAAAAAAAAAAAAAAGTCTTTTTCCATTTAAATTAATATCAGCTGTTCCAGCATATTGTGGATTCCAAATCTTTTAACAAAAAAGTGAAGTCTAGTCACACTAAAAAGACAAAACAGTCTGTTAAAGGCAGTGTCTGGATTTTGCCTTTGCCTGCCAGCTGAGGAGAAGAAAGTCAACAGTTTAGGGAAAGCCTGAACACATCACAGCAGCTCCCCACTGCAGTTTATTACAAGTCAGGACTAAGTTTTGCAGAGTAGACTCATCTTCACCTGCATGGTTTGGACACCCCACCAGAACAGCCTGTGCCTGGCACCAAAAGGGAGTCACTGAGTTTGGAACTGCAGGAAGGGTGACAGGACTCCACAGAGGACAATTTAAACATAATCTTTAAGAGAAAAACAGTTCCTAATATAAAGACGAGGGAGTTGGACAGGAGAAGGTCTGACAAGCAAGAACTCCAAACTATTTTCCATGTCTTCCCTTCAGTTTATTGATGCTGAAGAACATCCTCGTTGGTGCAGGAAACCCCTGTGAGAATAGTGTTTATCTAAGGGGACAAATCACCATTTTAACACTTACTTGGGTGGAGCCAAAACATCTTCCAGGAACTCTTCAATCTTATTCACATCTGTTCTCACTTCCCCATTGTATGTGATGAAGGGGGGGTGAGTGCCTGGAGCCAAATTTTGAAGGTCTGCTGGTTTTCTAGGGTGAAATACAAACCAATAGCAGAGTGAGCAGGGGACACCCATTCCACTGCCACAACCACAAAAGCCAGAGCTTTTCACATCCTTATGGCTTTAAAAAAAGATATCACCAGTTTTCTTTTTAAAAAGTGAGTTTACAACCTGATTAGCATTTTGAATATACTTCATAACAATTTAAAACACTTAAAGCCAACTGCTTCCTCCTACCTCTGGCTGTGTTTATTCTCAAATCAATACAATGTTGACTAGCAGGGGGATATATATACACACACACAAACACACTCTCTCTTTCCCAAGCTCTGCAGACCAGTTTATATATAGCATAATCTGTGCTCAGTGATAATCCTCCCCCCTTCACACAGACCTGCTCTGGAAATGAGCAACTCTGATACAGAGCAGTGTGTACAAACCATTTATCACGTGCCCAGGGAATCTGGTTTAGACAAACTGACAGATGCTTAAACATCACGTTTAAAATTATGCTGAAGGTTTCATCCAGTAAAAGAACTATTTACAAATAAGAGTAGCACACCTGGGAGAGGAATCCTGGACATTAGTGTGAGTAGACACAAGAGAAACAGCAGCAAGATAAAATGCACATTTCTAACTTGTATGTCAGTTTTGGCAGCACATCTCACTGCTCACTCCAGCTCCATGCTCAGTAATCCCTATCCAGCTAAGCCACTCTATTTTATAAGCAATTGGCTTCTCTCTCCTCTGGCTGTGCCTTGATGCTGCAGTGACAAGGCCCAGCTCCACAGGCATTCCTTTAAAGCCTGTGTGCCAGCTGGGCACACCCCCAGCTCCCTGTCACCCCAAAACACCCAACTTACCCTTCATGCCAAGCTCTCCCCTCTGCCCTGTCAGCAGAGTCAGATTTAAAGCCGAAATCAATAATGAGATGTGGATCCATCACAAGCTATAAAATCCAAAGCACCATCTAAGGAGCTGCAGCTGATTTCCCCAGTAAATCACCTGGGCATTAGTTGGTCCCACACCAGTGGCAGCAGAAACAGAATTAAGAACTGCCTGGCACTTGTGCAGCAGCACCACTCGAGCCTCCCCTGGTGAGGGCACTGACTGCAGCCCCAGGACAACTGCTCAGAGGACACAGTCTGACTTCCCCATGTCCACGTTTCAGAGGACAGGCTGCAGTTCCCAGTCCCTGCACCACCCCTGTGGCTGACACCCAACCATTCCCACAGGTTGAGCCACCACTGCAGTGACATTTGCCAGGCTGGGCAGAGCAGCCCGACCACCCCCTCCTGCTGCCCCAGCACCAACAGCCACCAGTGCCCCAGCAGAGAGGATGCCAAGGTAAAGCTGCCCCTTGGTTACTGGTTGAACTAATGCAAACTGGACCATGACCCTTGGACTGGGTCTGTGCCCTGCACGACGTGGCCACGTCTCCGAGCCAGCCCCAGGCACTGGATTTCCAGGAACTGGATCTGCAGCTCAGGAAATCCTCCTGGCTGTGCTGGGCAGGGAAAGCACATCAGGAACATCCACACACAGCCATGGGGGGCAGCACCAGAAAGCTTTCAGGGCTTTCAGGGGCACTCTGGAAACTAAGCCCAGTTTCCAAGTCCATCCTGTATATAAACATGGGTTTCCATTTCTCACAAAAGGAAGATCCCCTGCCAGAATTTCATGTCCTGCCCACTGCTGATCCTCTCACAGTGCCAAAGTGTACTTACCTGGCACTACATGTGGGACTGAATGAGAAAACTGATTTTCATACTTTAGAATATTATAGACACTGCATTAAGCCAGGTGACAGAAGTCTTATTAATACAGGAATTCAACTATTTTCAATTTTTAACCTTCAGAGAAGTTATTTCTCACTAATAGTTGCCATCACTCTCTCACTTTTAGGATTTAAAGTCTGTCATTGGTTAATGCTTTAAGTAGCTTAACACTTCATTTAAATACAGCTTTGTAACTCCCAACAATTACAGGAAGTCCTAGTGGCTCACTTCCAATTTTGCATGTTAGAGAGATAAAATTCCTCAAAAGGAATGTTATTTTAAAAACAAACACAGGCAAGACCACCGGATTTGCAACAATACTATCAAAGGCAAGGCTTTAGTTCAGAAGCAGACTGGTCTGAGGAACTAACCAAAAAAGTGTTCCAAAGAACCAGAGTGCACCTCAGGGACCCCAGAGCAATTTATTAATCCAGCCAGACCACCTCTATCTTGGAAGAAAAAGAAAGCAGAGATTAACATCCCCCAGCCAAGGCCCAAACATCACACAGGGTTTAACTTCCAGTTTGCTTCTCTTGCCAGGAGATCACAAACAAACCCTGGTTTACCACAGAGGAGCCACAGCCTTTAGAGCAGCAGTACACAGGAATATCCTTAAAAGGCTGACAGTACAAATTCCCTTAACAGCCAAACAAGAAGGCAATTAAAAATACTACAGTGAAGTTTTACTTCAGAGATAAAACTGGAGAGCTTAAAAAGAAAAAAGCCAAACTAAAATTAAAAAAAAAATCCACCTTGAATAACCACTCCAAACAATTCCATGATGGTTTGTACCTGCCCCAAACTTTACCAGGGTTTTTGGAGGCAGGGCCACATAATTAAGGATCTGGCTGTCACTGCCTCATTAAGTGGGCAGGTTCTTTAACACCAGGTACAAACATTTCCTGGCTTTGCCACAAACCAGAATGGCAATGAGCATGCAGATCATTTCTTGGAGATCAGACAAAATCCAGCCCCCAAATGTAGTGTGATTTATAAATGACACATGTACTGCAAGGAGTGGGGAGGAAAAAAATCAGCAATAACCCCCCTGTGCCCAGTTCCACAGCAGTTTTCACACTGCTTGAGGTGGATTCACCTTTTAATATTTCCTAATGTTGTTATTTAAACTTTGTCTGTCAACATAACTGTGAAACCACCCCAGTGAGATGTTTAAAAGGGGATTTCAGATCTCAGCTGAAGGCCTGGGGTGTTGGTCCAGGCCCCACAAATGGTTTCTGTGCTGCAGCTCTGCTCTGGCCACCAGAACAAGTCAGAGCTCTGAAATGCTGCTGCTGCTGAGAAGGGGAAGAATAAAGGCTCTGTCTGCCCAAACAGAAGCAAGAGATGCACAGTTCCTTGGGAAGGGTGGGATGTGCCACTTGGTTTGCCCATGTGCATATTTTTGGGTGTGTCAAGAGTAGAACTAAGAACTGCAAAAGGTTCTTTTGTTGGCACAGTGTGATGGGCAGTGCAGCTACTGGAGGGGAAAAATACCCAGCACAGAGTCAGCCAAGCCAGGCTCAGTTTTTCCAGTGTCCCAAGTTCCCCACTGGTGAACTTTTGTACCCAACCATGACCTTTTAAGCCTCACAAACAGACAGAACTGGCCTTGCTGCTGTGCACAAACGATGTCATGAGGCAGAGACGTGGTTTGCAAGTAGAGCCTTTTTTTTTTTTGCTAAGAAAATAAATTCAGATGCTTAAAACAATTACTACTGTGCTCTTCAACAAGAGCTTTTAGCAGGAACAAAAAGCAGAGAAGATAATTGAATTAATAATGTGCTTGAAAAGCAGTTTCTTTTGACAATATTAGAAGTATTAAGGCAACATCTAACACCTGTTATCACTCTGGTAATAACAAGGGAAAGCAATCCCATCTGGTACCAAACACTTCCTATTGAGCAGGTAGCTGGATTTGACATGCTGCTGTTCTTCAACTGGATATTGGTCACTCCAGAGTGCTGAAGTTGTATTTACTGAAGTCTAAAAGGAATTAAGTTTGTATCAACATCTATTAAAAAATGTGAATTAGCTTCAGTGGTCCTTTGTTTCCTTTACCAGAAGATGCCCCCAGTGCACAACAAAGAGGTAGTTTATTTGACCTATTCCTCTCTGCACTTCCTTAATTTTGCATTTTCTCCTCCCCAGTATTTAAAAAACCCCAAACCCAAATCTGAAAGAAAGCTCTCCTTGTGTAGGGAAGGTCAACTTTAAACATCTGCAACCAATTTCTATGCTACAAGTTACTCTTACACCCCATTCCCCCATCCAATTAACTCCAAGTTGCCAAAGGGACACAAGTAAAGCCAATTTATCAGGCATATTTGGCATTTTAATGATATCTCTGACTGGTTCAGCAGTAAAAATGCTTCCAAGCCTAAAACATGTCTTTCCACCTTCCTCTCATCCCCCCACCCCAATAAGTGCAGTAAGTTAAATAACACCATCATTAAAGGAAGCCCAAAGCTACAGACAGTTCAGGAGCACAAGTTCTGCTCCTGAGGTTCCCCCAGCCACAGCTGGGAGATGTGCTCCAGTTGCTTTGTGGTCCTGGCAGCAACAAGATTTGCAGAGGCCAGAAAAGGTCTTTGAGCAGCTACAGATGCTCACACAGCCCACAAAAGCTGCTTTCTCCTCCTGCCTCAGCCCCACCACACATGGAAGTCTTTAACACCCCTTGCCAGCCCTGAAGCAGCAACTCCAGTGATTTTTTTTTTTAAATCCAAACAAACCACCTCCTTCAAAAAATAAAAAAATAAAAATTAAGAGGTTAAGTCCAGCAGGGTGATTTCTGCCTTATATGTTGGGTTCAGAGGAGACCAGGGTGTTATTTCCATTGGTTTCATTCCTGACAATCAGGGTTGGAAGCACTGGCAGCCTCCCCCCTCTGTCTGTAGCTCAGTGACCAACATTGTATTACATTAGTGCTGGGAAAACATTACTTCACACCAAAAGCAAACACAAAAGACTCTGCTGAATTTAGCATTGCCACTTTAAAAAAAAAAAAAAAAAAGAACACCCAATTTTAGGAAATTAAGACTCCTGGATTCACTTCTCACCTTTCTTACCCACTGAAGGATTGGGTTTTTAAGTGGAAAAGCTGCTTTTTAAGTGACACACAGCACTGCACAGAGGCAGAATATTCCACATTTTATTCCTACCCATTTCACACGTATTTACCACCAGGGCAGATATTTTCCCGTTGTTTTCATTATTTTTATTATTGCAAAATAAGCAAAATTATCTTAAAGTCTTGAAGAAAAGGAGGAGGGTGCACATTATTTGTGACAGTTATCCAATAAGCACTGGAGATCTGACCAAAACAGCAGTTTTCACTTGATGTGAAGTTACTAAAGTAAGATTCAATATTCAGTTATAAAATTTATATATAAGTTATAATATTCATGTTAAGTTTTCCAGGAGCATCACTGAACAAATTCAAGAGGAATTACCAGACCCCTTCTTTTTGGCTACAGACACTTATCAATAACCACCAATGGATGCACCATTTCAATCAGTATTTGAGGACAGATTTTTCTTTTTAATTGCAGGGAATCAGCCCCTCAAAGCTTTGTTACACCAAGTGCACTGCACTGCCCCATAAATCCAGTATTTCTTACCTCTTCAGGTCGACTGTTGTGACACTGAACACCACTCCCTTCAGCCAAAGGATCATGAACAGCCTCTGGGAAAAAGGGCAGTTTCCTATGCTTTCCCCATCACTGCCAGCCTGCAGGAGAGAACACACCTGGATCAGGGGGAGAACACACCTGGATCAGGGGGAGAACACACCTGGATCAGGGGGAGAACACACCTGGATCAGGGGGGAGAACACACCTGGATCAGGGGGAGAACACACCTGGATCAGGGGGGAGAACACACCTGGATCAGGGGGGAGAGCACACCTGGATCAGGGGGGAGAGCACACCTGGATCAGGGGGGAGAACACACCTGGATCAGGGGTAGGACACACAGGGATCAGGGGTAGAACACACCTGGATCAGGGGTAGGACACACCTGGATCAGGGGTAGGACACACCTGGATCAGGGGTAGGACACACAGGGATCAGGGGTAGGACACACAGGGATCAGGGGGAGAACACACCTGGATCAGGGGTAGGACACACAGGGATCAGGGGGTAGAACACAGGGATTAGGGGTAGAACACACAGGGATCAGGGGGTAGAACACACAGGGATCAGGGGGTAGAACACAGCAGGGATCAGGGGGTAGAACACAGCAGGGATCAGGGAGTAGAACACAGCAGGGATCAGGGGGTAGATCAGGGGGTAGAACACAGCAGGGATCAGGGGGTAGGACACACAGGGATCAGGGGGTAGGACACACAGGGGATCAGGGGTAGGGGACAACAGGGATCAGGGGGTAGGGGACACAGGGATCAGGGGGTAGGGGACACAGGGATCAGGGGGTAGGGGACACAGGGATCAGGGGGTAGAACGGGGCCATCTCCACGTGCTCACAGTTACTGAAGGGTTTTAGTGAAAGGCAAACCAAACAGCAACTGAAATCTGCACTTTTATGAAGCCAGGTAACCCATTTACTTGCCATGTCCTCATGAAATGTGCCCAAACAATATTTCAGTCAACACAAGCTCTGTCTCACTGAAGATGATCCAACTGCCCCGGCAGCTGAACATCTTCCTCTGAGCAGCCACACCTTTTGATGGCAGTTTCCCAACACCAATATTGTTCTTTGCTCTTTATTATCCTTTTTTCCTTCTTCTCCAAGGCACTGCTAATTCACTGGAGTCCTCTTCCAGTTCCCTGCTCCTGTCAGCCCCTGTGCAGTGCTCCAGGGAGCCAACTGCACCCAGGAACTGAGAACCTTTATTGTACTGCAGGTGTTGGGAGGAAAGACATAACTGTGAGTACATAGAGACTTCACTGACAATTAAGTAATATCCCAAACCCATTTTTTTATAGACAATTCATCAATAAGTCTTTGTCCTGCCCCAACAAAGGGCCATTAGACAGCAGCAGGAGCCCCCCAGGGCAGGCAGTGATGGCATGGATCTCATGATTGCTCTGACAACATGGATGTATTGCTGAGCTGGAAAATCTGAGTGTGCAGTGGGCAGGGATCAGGCACTGGAAACCTTGAATCTTGTTATAAAATTCAATCCTCTGAAGAGAAAACTGGCTCAGCAGTTAAAGCAGCCACATATGTCAGATCTTAACATGTACTTTATATCAGATGAGTTTCAATGGATTTTGCTTATTGTTTATTAGAGTCCTTCCAAGAGTAATTTTAATGAGCACAACTCTCAAAACCTGGCCAATTATTTCATCATCACAGTGGGGAGAATGAAGAAAGACTTTGTAAATTAAGAGCAACAGCAGGATTTTCAAAGACCAGGAAAACATTAAGTTTTTCAATGAAACTGTCTTAAATTCAGAAAGCTTTTATTTATTTATTTTTTTTGAAAACTCATGTTGCCTTTGCAGGTGAGGCTGAGTCTACTTTAATAGTTGTCAATAAATACCAGGACATGAGGATTCAAACTCATTTCTGTTCCTGCAGCTTATGGACTCATTTCTACAAGTGTCCCTCCTGTCAGCTCTGACTCTCCTTCCCTACACTTTGTTGTGGACAACAGACAGAGCTGTTTTCCTTCAAACCTTTATCAGTGTCATTAATGAAGACCTGAAAGAAAAAGGAGGTTGTCTTTCTGCCATAAATTACTAATTGCCTCCTTTATCTTTGGAAAGTAAAGCATAAAACTTGTAGCAGATTAATGATTGTCTTAAAAGCTGCCATGAGACTTCTCATGCTCAGGAAAACAAATTCCAAAAGCATCTCAGAAAGGATAAAACAGAGTCCCTTTGGTTACTCTGCTCTACAGAAGCTCAGCCCACACCTCACAACAGGTAGGGGTAGCTGTTGTAAAGGTTCCAGCTCCATGGATTTGTGTGTTCCCACCTCAGCAGACACTTCCACGAGGGATGACTTCACTCTGCACTGCCTGTCCAGCAGCTGTGTTTTATGGATGTTAATAATTAACCACACTGCTGTCCTGCAGATAGCAGGGTGCATTTCAGCAATTCCCACCACAGTCACATTGCTGTGTTTACACTGAACAGACATTATAGATTTATACTCATCTACCTTTTTTTTTTCCTTTGCCACGTGTAAGATCTTATCTACCTTTGAAAAAAAGACAACACTTCATCCCATCTAAGGAAAATATACATTTTGTACTGCCCAGGCTAATCCAGATTTTGAAGCAGAAGCAATTCTTTGAGAAATTATCTCGATCTTCAAGTTTTATGGGAACTTCAACCAAGGTACTCAGAGCAAAGTCTCTGAGGTTACACCCCAGTAACAGCACATGCTCTGTGCCCCCATCCCATTGAGCTTTACCTCACTTGGCCCACTGGAACCCAAAGCAAAGCTACTTTAAAATCACTGAACTGAACAGAAAAGTGTTTAAAAATTCAGGCACAGCACTGAGCTGTGGCTTTCATTCAGGTCCATCCTCCTCAGCCAAAGTCAAAGTGGCCAGTGAGGACCAAAAAAGGTCAAATGCATTTATGGTGCAGAGCCAACTTGTCCCGAAACTTTCCTTCTCTCCCAATGCAAGTTTAACATTCAAAATTAACAAACAACGAAGAGCATCTGCTTTTGTTTAGGCAAGACAGGCTTTTTGGATGATTTGACTCAGAAATAAAGGATTATAGCCCAATATCATCCAGTGCCACGACCAAAAGCTGCTGCACTTTCAGAGCTGCAGCTGAGCAGCAGAGCCGAGCACGGCCTCTGTCTCCAGTCAAACGTTTGTCCCACTTCTGCTCCAAAAAGTCCCAAGTTATTCTGAGCACACACTGGAAAAGGAATGCACTCAGAATGCCAAGAAACTTTTGGCTCCAGTGCTCTTGAGCTGAGGAATTCTGCTCTGTAACTGTTTGCAGAGGCCCGTTTTCTGTCCCCTGTTTGCTGCAGCCCCTCAGCCCGAGCAGCTCCGTGCTGGGACAGCACTCGGACCCTCAGGATCCCTCAGGATCCCTCAGGACCTTCTCACAGGCTCACCAGCCTGGGGGATGTTCCTGCAAGACTCTCATTTTCTCCACTGGAACAGAGCTGTGCTGGCAGTGAACTCTAAACCTTTCAGTATTGCAGGAATATCCTGGAATTCCACACAACCTGTGGTGCAGGGGGTTAATCACGTAACAGTTGTGCTTGAGCCCACTACTAGAAGGCAGAAAGTTGTCATGGCCTTGTCTTTTAATCCAGGCCATAATAGTCCAGGATATCTTCAGTGTCTAATCCTCATCACCATCACAGTAAATATTAAACACTGACTTCTTTACACTAATGTCAGCCTAGAGTATTGTTAATTCAACAAGGTTATGCTCATTCTATACTGAGAAGCTTTGAGGTTTTATTTCAAATTCCTTCCAAAACCAGTCTAAAAATCTCAATCACTAAATCATGCCAACCTGCCCACAATTAGGCTAATTTTTCAGTTCTGCCATTGCCCACTGAAGGATATACACTCAAGAACTTCATCATGTATCTGTGTTTCTCTGCCAGGTTTTCACCAGTAGGGATTAGGATCAGGCAGAAGAAAGTGCCACACATCCCACAGGAAGCAAACAGGGCCTTTTACCTCGTGTGTTACCCTCGACAAGCTGCCTGTAACTAAAAAACTTCCAAAAAGGGTGCAAACCCGACCTCGTTAATTGTAAGATGTGGCACAGAAGGAGCTGAGCAAAACCACAGCAGGGCACTCACCCCCCAGTGTCACATGATAAACAAACAAAGCTGCTTTTAAAGGAAACTTAAATAAGAAAGTAAGTTCCAATAAGAAGGAGAGAGTTACAAGGCAGTAAAACAAACCAGTCTGCTCACTGAGAAGTCCCCCTGGTTTATCACAGCCACAGTAAAACTACTGGCAACTCCCAATGCCAGGCAGCTCAGCCCAGGGAAGAGTGCCAGAGACTGGGAAAGGGAAAAAAAAAACAGAAAAAAATCTACTTATCCCACTGTCTGGAAGTCTGAGTTGAGCTGATCCAGCCCAGGAAGTCACCTCCTCCCTTTCTCTTCCCCTGGAGTAGTGATTTCATTCAAAAGAGATTGTTTTTCCAAAAAAAAAACCCAAAAAACAAACCCCCAGAGAGTACAAGTAAAAATACATCCGTTTAAGTGGCTAAACAAGCTAAGTGAAGGAAAAAAAAAATCCCTTTGTATTGTGAAATGTTTGTCTTTGCAGCTGCATAAAAATGAACCTGACTCCTCATTTTAGATGTATCTCATAGAATGCTTTTCACCAGAGACAACTACTGGAGCCATTTGATTACCCCACCAAGGAAGTCCCCACTCCCCCAGCTAAGAAATCTGCCCTCTGCAAAGTCTGGAAGAATAATGTTCCACTAATAAACAGACTGGGGAACAGACAACTAAATGAGAGGGGATATTCAAATTTAGAACTCAAAAATCTTGAAATATGCCTCAGTTTTAACAATAATAAAAAAAAAAACCTGCTGAGAAAACTGCATGAGCAAACCAGAGTGATGCAAACCCATGGCCTCAAACCAGCAGATAACAATCAGCCTTGCATGTTTAATGAGCAGTAAGCTCATTCAAAAACTGAGTAATTAATAATAATCCTATAAGGATTACTGTTTTGAGAGGAAATGGTTTAAGGTAACAAAGTGATTCAAGTGCAGAACCTGCAGCAATTCAAAACTCCTGAGATAAAGGACTAGAGAA